CCTTTTGATACTTTAGAGTCACTTAATTAAACCCAGTTTGGTCGGAACAACAGTGATGAGACTTGAGCGTAGCGGAAAAAGACAAAGACCACACCGTGTGGCTCCCATCGCTGCCTGCAACTCCCCAATTGGAAGTGCCCGTCACCAATCTCCTCGACTTGATGAAGTGGCAATCCATCACATCACTACTGACAATTCAACCACTCATCCAAAGAGCTTAAAAGCGGACGAACTCGAATGGTCGTTGCTTTCTACGTGGTTAGTTCTAGTGGTCTATAGTAAACGTAAAATTATCCAACACTTTCAAAGAGAAAACGTAAGCCTCCGTACTTTCGGCACTTGAAGGTCACTTTTACAGATCTTATTCATGGATCACGTGATAGGCGTAAAAGGCCTTCAAGTATTTTTCATCCACCATGCAGCACATGGCTCAAAGCGTAGTCAACTCCTTTCCAGCGGACTTTTCAGTGAATTGAGATGCTGACATTCTATCAAGAGTATGCGTGTTGCTAAATACTTTTGACAACATCACACGATGATGGCATGCTTTCAAGTAACATTCATCGTAGCAGTCAATGTCAGAGTGCGGAAGAGGAAAGTGGGACAGAAGGAGCCGCAAAGAGGAACGCCGAGATGGAAAGTAAGATTGCCAGCAGGCCTAAGGAACGATTGCCAAGACTACTGATGCCTTTGTTGAAGGGAGAAACGGATCATAGAAGTGCTGAAATTGCAATGTAAGTTGAAAAAACAGAGCATCTTGCATCCTCCTTTTAATGCGGTCTCGCTTCATCGAAGCCAAAACATAACATCAGAGAAACACGAGTAGGCATACCGTACAACTGTTACGGCAGTACACGTAGCACTCGAACCCCATTTCCCGGAAAACTACCATAGAAAGCTAGAAGGAAACTTCTTACTATAACTTCTTGCTTTTGCATAAAAATTGAGCTGAAAAGAGCAACACTGCTTTTGAAGCGAGACTACCGACATGATTCTCAGATGAATCTTAAGACACACCACCAATGCAAGGTTTCATTTTTTAGGTTTCTTTTTCCAAATATCCAATTAATGGCAAAGAAAGCAGCCTCCAGACTGCTTCATTCCACGTATTTGCTTCGAGGACCAGAAATGGGTGGTGCAATCGTATCCAACACATTAGTAGAGGCGGCATCGCCCAAAGTAGTAGCGCATCGGCAAGCGGTTCTACAGCCCCCTCCAAATAGCCTCTCACCTTTTAAAACGCAAAGATGTGCCTGATGAGGTACGTCTGTGAACCAAATCGATTCTCCCCAATTATTCGCCATACTAAACAATTCTTTTTCTAGAAATCTCAACAGCACCTTTAAGGTATGTCCAAGTTTTCGATGAGTGAGAAGCCTTACAAAGCCACTTTTTAAATTAGTATTTGGAAAGAGCTTTTGCAAACGGCAATAAATTTGCTTATAAATCCTCCTTCCCTTTATTAGCACCATAGTCTGAGCAGGAATACTAGTAGTAGAGGGATCAGATGCTACGCAAGAACGCGACTCTAGACATGGATTAAAGCGTAATGAGAAACTTCCGGAAGGTGATGACTGCACAATAGCATTCGACATCATTAACAGCGAAATCCTATCTACACGGTCCTTAATAGATGAGAACACAGGACCTTAACCCCGTCTATTGATTACATTAAGTTTTGTTCGTCAAGTGCGATGAGATCCTAATTAATATGCCTGACTTGTCACGAGGCTGCCCACTAAAATGCAAAAAAATGCAGGGTACAGAGGAAGGTAAATGGTGCCAATGTTTTCATTCGTCCTCAACACCACATTCGACACGAACAAAATCCTCCAGGAGGATTTCGTTCTGCTCCAGCAGCCCGCCAACTGTAATTGCCTCGTCGAAGAGAAAAGGCTGGCGAAGGAGACATCGTTCATCGTCCGGGTTTGTGGCAGGTGGAACGTTGTCCAGCGCAAGGCTTGGCAGCGGGCTCATTCCTACTATGTGCTGGCAGACCTGGTGACAAACCCGAGAAGCCTGATCTTGCCATGCCAACGTCCCCTTCTTTGCAATGGAATCGAAAGAGAAAGTAGGATGCTCGTAGAGAACATTACTGCTGCACCACACATTTCACAGATGAATTCGAGCATCTGGACAACTTATTTGCTTTTGATAACATTTCTTGAGACTTCACGCTTGTTCTTTTAAGATCTAGTATTGAAACACTTCAGTCTTTCAATTGGCTCATCACATCTTGCGGATTATAAAAGATGACACCTAAGCACAAATAAGTTTCGGAACTGACCACGTGATACTTGCCTGCATATTTTGGAATAGAACTACTTATGGACTAATCTCTTAGCATAAAAAAAATTGATTTATGCCTACCTGATTGCTGATGTGGCGGTAGCGCAAGAAGGCAACATATTTCCCGAAATGCACGTCGTGGGCAGTTTTCCTTCTACCGACGTTGGTTGCATGACAATAAGCCATGAGATGACTAACTTCGGTCACCTTATCAGCTGGAAGAATCATTCCAATACCGCGGGGAATAGCTATATTCTCGCCTACGGATGCAACAGTTGCCACCAAGACATCGGACACAGATTTTGACAGTTGTCCTGCATAAGGAAGTGTTTTGAGAAAGTCTTCAGAAAATCTATGAGTACCCGGTTCCCGCAATCCCTAAAGGCGTAAGGATATTAGACCAATCTAACAACTAAACTACATAGAAAATGGAAATCTTACGGACAAAAGATGTTTAAACAACGATTCTGTAGAGGATGCAACCAAAGATTGAAAATGTTCGTTCCGGGCTACGAAGTCAGTCTCACAATTTATTTCCACAACAGCCACACAGCTAGGCTTGTAAATCATCCCCAAAAGACCCTGCGACATTGGTCGACTTTTAAGCTTTTCGGCTTTTGCTAGACCCCGCTTAGCTGCCTCCTCCTTGAGCCAGGCAAGCGCGCGAGAGTAGTCACCATTGCAGGCGGCCAACGCCTCGCGACACAGAACAAATGGATGACCAGTCACCTTACGCAACTGAGCAAGATTTGATGAAGGGGATTTCAGGGAAAAACTTGATAGGACATTCTGAAAAACTGTTTTGATTCCAAGGGAAGAAATAAGTGCTGGTGATCTCGAAAGCATATCCCAAAGTCAAAATTTGGAAGCTACAAATATAAACAGACCTGAAAAATCAGACTAAAAGCAATTACTGAACAGGCTAAATAGTTATTACTAAGATATCTGGTAGAATCCAGCCTACCGCCAATAAAATGTGGCAAACTATTCTGCAGTATACGGTGACAATGAGCTCATCTTATTCCTCCAACAACTTATTAGTTGCCGTATGCAAATGTAGACAAATATTTTAATTTACAACGATACAATACAGTATGCAATAATAACACAGCTTCAGAAAGAACTCCTTTGGTGATTGAATATAAGTACCTCAGTTTAGAAGCATCAAAAAACGT